AGACCTTGAAATGTTCTTTGTGATGATGAATCCCAGGTCATTCCTCTTCAATTTGTCATTCCCAGCATAGTAGATCACATATGGTTGTCTGATTCAAAATGGCCCAAATCAGTCCATTTCAGCTCACTAATGCCTAGGATGTAGATCTTTATGTGTTCCATTTCATTTTTGACAACTTTCAAATTTCCTAGATTCATACTTTGTACGTTCCAGGTTCCAATTGTTAATGGATGTTTGCAGCTATTTCTTCTCAGTTTGAGTCATACCACATCAGGAAATTGAGGTCCCAAAAGCCTTACTCCATCCACATCATTAACTTCAGCTCTACTCTGAGGTGGCAGCTCTTTCCCAGTCATATTTTGAGTGCCCTCTGACCCGAGGGGCTCATCTTCTGGCACTATATCAGACAATGTTTCAGGGTTATTTGTAAAGTTTTCCAGTAATATGTCAGATAGTGTTTCATTTTTATTCATAAGGGTTTCATTGGGCAATTCTTTGAGAAGTGGATGGCTTCTTCCTTCTTCTAAGTCTGTCTTAGTCTGGAAGGTCTGCTGAAACCTGCACCATGGGTGACCCTGCTGGTATTTGAAATACTGGTGGCATAGCCTCCAGCATCACAGCAACACACATACCACCACAGTATGACAAAGTGACAAATGGGTGGTAGACATACACATACACACACACACACAGACACATATGTATATATTAAAAAAAGGAAAAACTCACTGCCCTCAGGTAAATTCTGACTCATAGTGATCTCCGTTTGGTTTCCAAGACTGTAAATCTTTATGGAAGTAGATTGCCCCATCTTCCTTCTGCAGAGTCACTGGTAGTTTTGAACTTCTGACCTTCTGATTAGCAGCCAAAGGCCTTATTCTCTACACCACCAATTACATATGTATATGCAATCATTGGTTGCCATGAAATCAATCCCTACTCCACATGTGCAGAGTAGAACTGCTTCATAGGAATTTCAAGTCTATGAACTTTTGAAAGTAGGTCACCAGACCTATTTTCTGAGGCACCTCTGGATGTATTCAAACTGCCAACCTTTTGACTACTAGTCAACTACTTACTTGTGTCATATTTCATTTTACAGTCTTGGGCTATATTGTTGTTAAACAAACAGAAAACCTAGTCTTTTCCAAAAAAAAAGTTGGTTTTGCAAAGAAAAAAATATTAATTATACCTACGATTGTTGTTATTATGTGTGTGCGTGCACATTGTGTGGACCAAACATAGGTTCATTTCTTGATTATATTAATTTTCAGCTAGTTTCCAATTTCTGATAAATTCATGAAGTAATTCCTTCCTGAATTTGTAAATTATCTATTTTTAATCTGAAAGGCCTGTAAATCTGTCCTTTTGTGTGTGATGATAACCACACTATTATTTACCATTCACAAACTCTTCTCAAATTAAGAAGATGAGGGTCCATTTTAATTATCAAGCCTTCTGTTTCTTTCTCCAGAAGTTTTGAACTGTTTCTCTTGAATAACAGTCTTACGAAAGTTTGGTAAAATGTATTTTGGAGATGAGGGACTTTCAACTAGCAGTTAAGGAATAGATAACACTTTATTTTCTTAAAGAAATGTGGAGAAACACATGAGGATAAAATAATGCCAGGTGTCTTTTGTCTTTCAGGACACTACAAACGTTGAGTTTTCAGCTGTCTAGTAGTCACGGAGAATGTTACAAAGCCCCGGCTGACAAAGTCAGCCCTCTTCAGTGCCATCCCTACTCTTCTTTCTTCCAGGTCCGGGAGGGAGACCTTTCACTGCTACCAGGCTCTGCAGAAGAAGACAGCCTCCCTTAACCCTGCAGAGAGCCTCCGGGAGTTTCTCAGAACCCGAGGTGGAGCAGAGGACGGCAACCACAGTAGGCAATCTGGCAAACTTAGATTGTCGAAGCAGGCTCCTAGACACGCCCGGAAATCCCACTGGAAGATGCGCAGTTACCATGACACCGGAGATGCTCCCCAAACACCCTCACTTCGCGGGGAGAAGAGGGCCCAGGGCAGACGCCTCCCTCCGGGGCAGTCTGGCAGGAGCGCCCATTCCTCGCCTGGCCCATACTGCCCCGCATCTCTCCTCGGAGAGGTTAATACAAGTTTGCTCTTCTCCCCCCTCCCGCCCACCCGGGCGTTTCCATAAGGCTTGTTCACAGGCCCCTCCTTGGCCGGGGGTGAATGCTCGCTTGCATTGACCGCTGCGAGGGAATTGTTCTGTGAGCGCTGCCCATCCTCAAATCAATGCCTGCCCAGAACAACAGAAAGGGCCTCAGATGTACTGGTTTCCACAGGACCATTGTGAGGCTTTTGTGAAGCATTTTTGAACCTAATAAATAATGTCAAAAGTCCCTATCACAGCCAAAAATGTTCCTTTTGAAGCATTTCTAATAGTATTTTTGTTCCGCGGTGTATCCCAGTGTTATAAAGAATTTGTGCCTGACAATAGGGATGGGGTACATCGCGTGCCACTTCGCAATGTGCCTGCTGGGGTTGGGAGGATCCCTCTTTGTTTTGCTTTCGCAGGTAAACGGTTTCACTTGCCAACTTGGGCTTTGGTTTAAGGATGTTTTCTAAGGGCCTTTAGAATTTCTAAACAGAGGTTTGGAAAATATAATTGAATGTTGTAATTTAATCGTTAACATGAAATTGGATGACTCCTATGTGCTTAAGGGAATTCGTCAGATTATAAGGTTTTCATGTCAGAAACCTGAACCTAGATCTAGCCTGGGGCCCTGAAACACTTGGAACTAAGTTTACTATCAAAGTGATAATGAATTTTCTGCTTTGTAATAGAAAGTACTGCAACAGCTTAGAGAACTTATTAAAAAGGTCGTTTTTGGCCATGTTCTTGATTCTGGCTAAGACACACAGCAACTTCCCATGGGGCTACAGTGCAGAGGTCAACTTTATCAAATGACTTTGTGGAGTTAGTTTTTTTTCTTTAATGTACTATTTTTTTTTAACATTCAGAGGAAAACACTTACATTGTGACCATGCACCTTACGCAGTTTTGCACTCAAGTCCCTTGCAGTTTTCCCGCTGACCTGAATTCATAGAGTTTGATACATGGGTGTATCAAGTCTCACTCAATAGGAATGAAATAGTATATTCAATAATTGTTTACCATTTAGGAATCTGTTTAGTCTTTTGAGGACTGTTTTATTTCTTTGAATATTAGCACTTTATAAGAGTAATGCACTTGAAAAAAAAAAAAAGTGCTGCTATATTTTCCAGGTCCCAGATCAATATGATTTCATCATACATATGTATTTATTATGTATATTTATATGCTTTTTTTATAAGAGAATGTGGTTTAATGGTGGTTACTATGGTTTCCTGAGGTTATAATGTCCTTTACATAGCCAAGGAAACACAGGAAAACATCTCTCAGGTATTCTTTACTTTCAGCTAACATCCATCTGACATCAGTAATGATATCCTTTTCTCTCATGCCATCTTTTGAATCTGGCTTGAATTTCTGGCAGTTCTCTGGAAATATTCTGCTGCAACCATTTTTTAATTATCCTCAGCAAAATTTTTCTTACGTGTGATATTAATGATAACAAAAAACCCGAAACAGAACTCACTGCCATTGAGTCGATTCCAACGCATAGCGACCCCCTTTGGGTTTCTGAGGCAGTAAATCTACATGCTAGATTGCCCAGTCTGCCTTCCATGGAGTGGTCGGTGGATTTGAATCACTAACCTTCTAGTTAGGAGTCGAATGCCAGTATGCCACCAGAGCTCCTTGATATTAATGATATTGTTCAATAATTTCTGCATTCTGCATTCTGTAGTTGGAACACTTTACTTTGGAATGGGCACGAATATGGATTTCTTCCAGTTGGTTGGCCAAGTAGCTGTCTTCCAAACTTCTTGGCATAAACTTCAGGGGGCAAACTTCTTGGTGTAAAAGAGTGAGCACCTCTAACACTGCATGCATTTGTTGAAACATCTCAGTGGGTTTTCTATGAATTCCTGGAACCTTATTTTTTGCCAGTTTCTTCAGTGCACCTTGGACTTCTTCAGTACCATTGGTCCTTGATCATATGCTGCCTCCTGAAATGGCTGAATGTCAATCAGTTCTTTTTGGTACAGTGACTCTGTGTATTCCCTCCATCTTCTTTTGATGCTTGACACCTTTCAATATTTTCAATGAATCCTTCAATATTGCAAATAAAGCCTTGAATTTTTTCTTCAGTTCTTTCAACAGCTTCATGCAGTAGTTAGTATTGTTATCTTCATTCCATAGATGAGGGAATTATTTTTGAAAGATGAGATATATATATAAGTGTATACATAGTTATATACCTGTGCACATATATGTACATATAAGTTTAAAATGAAATAAGCTTACATGGTAAAATTTTGTTGTACATATACAGCTATATTATTACATATTATATTATTAGAGCTAATATATATTATATGCTGTTGTTGTTGTTGTTATGTGCCGTCGAGTCAGCCCCGACTCATAGCGACCCCTCCTTTGGTTTCCGAGGCTGTATCACTACAGAAGTAGGATTGCCCAACCTTCCTTCTGAATATTATATGCATGTATGAGCAAATGTGTGTGTTTATTTCATTAGACAAATAACAACCATCAATCATATATATATATAATGCTGTTGGATGTGTAAGTGAGGAGAAAGACATAGAGAGGTACGTGGGAGGTACAGACAACAAAGATGAACCCTTTTGCACACACAGTACTGCATTGTCAGTGAAGGCAACATGGGTATATGAGTGGATAGATGGGTGGACAGGCTGAACTAGTAGGTATGCCTATGAAGCAGGGAGTGTACCCAAGAACATGTATAGGGTTGGCAGACAATGGTCCTGTAAGTTTATGTGTATGATCTGCATTCCCAGGTGTATAGTGGAGCTGACAAGAGGCAAGGTGGTAGTCACTGCTTGGTCACAGCCAGTTACCCAGAGGGACCGAGTAGTTGAACCTGTGGGCTCAGGACCATAGTCACAGAGGACATCAAGCTCAATTGGCATAACGTACTACACAAAACATTGTTCCACCTCCTACTTTGGTGAGTAGCGACTGGGATCTTAAAAGCTTGCAAGCTGCCATCTAGATG